AAAAATAAGAACCAAGATACTCATGTAATGGTACAAGATCCCAATGATGAATGTAATTGCATTTTATACCTAAAATGTACCAATAAACTTAATGGGAAAAAAATAAATAAATGTTTAAAATTAAAACTTCTCACCCTGATTGTTTGGTCATCAGAAGCTGTCAAAAACGATGATCCATCAGGAGAAAACATCACACCATGAACCCAACTTAAATGTCCCCTGCAGTCAGCAACCTTTACACATGAGTCTGTGTTCCACAACTACAGAATACAGGAAACCACACTTATAAGCACTTTGAATATACCAAGAATACTGAAAATAGCAAAAATGACTATTTCTATTAATATAGCCCAAAAATACATTATCAAAACTAAAAAATGTCTTATGCAGAAGATTATTCATTATATGATTATTTTTTAATAGCAAACAATTAGAAACAACCCAAATGACCATGAATGAACTACATTAGTCACATAGTAGAATACCACGCAAAATACAATGAGGAAAAAACTCTGGTGATGACTAATTTCTAGTAGTGACAGAAAAAAAGCAAAGTGCAGAAGAATATTTATACTATACCATCCTTTATAAGAGTTGGAAATAGAGATGTGTACACATATAGGTGGATATAGATGTACATATATGTGTAAATACATGGGGACATGCATATAATGTTTATACAGAAAGAAACACTGTTACCTATGGGATAGTAAAGAAGAGTGGAGGGGAAGGGATATAGATGACAGTGAGACTTCTCTGAATAATCAATCTAAAAAATAACAGGGTGAACATAGCAGCCTCCATATACAATTTTCCACTAATACTGTCATCTAACCTTTGACTGCTTGCAAAACCCACAATAAATGGACGCAATAATTGTACCGTGTACACATGTCTCTTTTTACTCAAGCTTATTACAAATTATAATGTCTACCGCTACCCTGGCTATGTTCTGTCCTAAGTGCTGCTGTAAATTACTCGATACATTCCAGTCTAATGAAGTACCATATGTGCCCGAGTTCCTCTCATTACACTCTGAATTACAGACCTACTTTATGATTTCAGAGCTAGCATGGACAAAACAAGTACTTCATCACATGCCCAGTGGTTTTCATTCATTGAGTTCTATGGTTACAAATGAAGTATATGAAATTTCCTCTGCCTTTTCTCTAGAGTCCAAGCTGGGATATATACAGCTAGAGGCCAGAAAAAAAAAACGATCCCACCAGTGAAAACCTCCCTTGGAAAGCCTTCTCTCTCTCCTTCTCTCCTTGTTCTTCCACATCTCTCCCCCATCATTTGTTTGTCACTCAGAGGCACCAGTGCCACATTCCAACATTTCAAAAAGGAAGATGCTTTCCTGGAGAGCTTTCTAAGGATGATAGAGCATGGATCTTAGGAATGATAGGAAAGGGTGGGAAAGGGTTTGCTCCTCCAGTCCTTCTGAAAGTCTTTAAGAAATCCAGAGAGGGAAAATTCCAGCCACATCTATTTGAGGTCCATAGGTAAGGTCCCGGGTCTTTCGGCAGATCTGAACATACCAATTCAGGCCAGGGTAACACTGCCCAGACCACCCCACTTCCTACTGTTCCATACAGAACTGGAGCACTTTAACTCACTGCCACTGCTTGCAACGGGCAGTTCTCCGCAGAGAAACCCTTCAGCATCATGTAAACTGATGCGCTTAGGAATCAGGAGGTGCTTACAGGGCTCACCTCCATTCTCATCCTATCTGTTACCTCCATGCCAAAGGGCAACAGCTTAGCAATGCTCCCCTAATGCCTTAACAGCAAGGTAGGCAAACTCACTAAAAACTGCTGAAAGAAGCACAGAACACTATAAAGTGCCTGGAGTAATCAATGTTTCCTTCAAGAGTAGCCTATGAACCAGGTGAATCTCCCTACTTTGCAGATAAAGACCCACACCTTCTTTGTAGAACTGAGATCTCAAGGGATCTCCAATTCCCTGGGGTAAGACCAACTCTAGGAATGACAAGTATGAAATCTCGGAAAACTATTCCATCTTTGAAGGAAAAATACAACTTGTTGTGTATTAAGTAAATTAATACAGCAACTCATGGTGCAGAATTCAAGGTAAAGATTCTGAACATAAAATTTATAAATGTAAACAAGTAATTTATAAGAATCATTTCATTCATTAGGGTTCAGCAATGATGATCTTTACCTTAACCAATTCCAAAATGGATGGTATCTTCTTAGATTACTCAGTAATCTAAGACTACGAATGGAACTCTCATCATTTTGTTTAAGAGGAGTCTGTACCTACCCTATTTAAGAGACGCCAAAGTTCAGCCTAGGAAACCAATGGTCATTTCATTGTTTCCTCAGACTACAGCACATAAGGCATTCAATAACTGCTTGGGGAATGATACTGTCATTCCCTTGTCACACTGTCAAACCAAGTCTCTAATCACTGTTAAAATAATAACGCTAGCCCTAGAGTTAAATATCTCAAAAGTACAGGTCATTAGGCTATGAATAAAATGCTTCTCAAGCAAACATCTTCCACAGCTAATGGCAGACACAGCCCATTCTCTGTGATTCTTGGATCTCAAGAAACCCAGACTTCCCTGAATAAAAGCAACTACTTACCTCCACACAGTACTGGGACAAAGCCACCACTGCCAAACCATTATGGGGGGAGAAGTCACAGTACTGGATGGTACTGTGGTGGCCGGTGTGAATCTCTGCCACTAGGCCACTGGTGTGAATGTCAAAAAGCTGTCAACATAAACAATGAAATATCTATGAAGGTAAAATATTTTAAAAGATAAACTACGCCAAAACTGAATCCAAATTTTTTTAAATCTCCAATTTCAAGTATAAAATCTAAGTCCTGAAAAACAATAATTACTGAAACCGGTGTAATTATTATTTGGGGTGGGGGGGGTACTGGGGATTCAACACGGGACATTGCACTTGAAAGGCAGGCGGCGGAACCACTGAGCTAAAGCCCCAGCCCTGGCATAATTATTAACAGTCATAAATAGGACATAGGTCAATATACATATATTTCCAAAATACTGCTCATCTTGAACCATATTTTCTATAAAGGAAAATTCATCACAGATGATCTCTCAAGCTGGCCTAGATAAAGAAATAAAACTTTGTGAATAAATGAATGGACTAGCCAAATTAACATACAGAGTAGTTCTCGCTAATGCTTGTTTATTCAAATGAGAAAATGCACACTCATGAATGATGATCAAAATAAGATAGAGCAGAGGCTGCTAAAATGAAATTAGCTCAATCATTTCTATTTCTCTTCAGAGCTAACAAATTACTCCATTATGATTAATCATTTTCCCATTTTTGAACCAAAAATGCTATTTTTGAGTAACTTTTTTCACTTTAATTTTTGAAAGATTTTTAAATGCTCACTATGTTGTTGCAAAGTTTTAGCCATATGATAAAGTAGTTTACATTTAATACATACATTTAGACTGTTGATATGGTCTAGTAACTTAAAGTGAGGGTGCAGTCCTCAGGAAGAAAACACAAGCCTCCTTCCATTCCGGTGGGAGCTCTAGGGAGGGTTAGTGAATGCACAGAACATGCAGCCCAGGGAGAAGCACAGATGGAAACCAACACACCAGTGGAGGCCAAAAGGAAAGGGCAGGAAATCATATTTAAATCATATTTCAATGCTTCCCAGAGCAGGTCCTTCTTCAAACTAAACGGCTGAGTGTGATAGAAGAAACTTGGAATAGAAAAATGTCACAATCATGGAACAGCAAAAAAGAAAAGACCTTACAGTAGCAGCGGACTAACATTACAAGAGTGAGAAGGGGGGAAGAAAGGAAACACCGAGGAGCTGCATGTAGTTCAGGTCATCTCAGGGTAGTTTGGTTTTAGCATGGTAAAACAGAGAGCTCGTCTACAGGTGTTTAAAACAAGAATGCATTTCATGCAATATAAAATCATTTTCTGTTTTCACTGGAACAGATCTTTTAAAATCTTTTTTTAAAATGAACTTTTGCTCATCATCACTGCTCATGAGACTGTAAATCAAACCACAAACATACGATTTCACACCTACTAGGATGGCTATAATTTTTTAAACGGAAATAAAAAGCGTTACCATGGATGTGGAGAAGATGGAATCCTTCTACACTGCCAGTGGGAATGGAAATGGGGCAACTGGTGTGGAAAAGTCTGGTGGCTCCTCAAGAAGCTAAATATAGAATTACTATACCCAATAATTCCACTCCTGGTTACACAAAACTTCTGGAAACAAGGGCTCAAACATATTTGTACACCAACACTTGTTCCAGTATTATTCGCAATAGCCAAAAAGTGGAAACAAGCCAAGCGTCCACACACAGATGAATGGATAATTAAAACATTGTATATACATATATATGTATGTATGCATGTATAACGGAATTATTAGCCATAAAATGGAATACATGCTACAACATGGATGAATCTTAAAAAACTAAGCTTAATGAAACAAGCCAGATACAAATGGACCAGTATTATATAATTCCACTTCTATGAAATAACCAGGAAAGGCAAATTCATGGTATATTAGGTTACCAGAGGCCAGGAATAGAGGGAAATAGGAGCTGCAAGTTAATGGCTATGGAATTTCTGTTTGGGGTGATGAAAAGGTTTTGGAACTACAGAGTGGTAATAATTGTGCAACATTATGAATATAATTAATACTACTGAAGTATCCATTTAAAAAGGATAAATTTAATTATGTAGTATATTTTACTACAACAAAAGTTAATTTTTTAAATCTTGAAGATGCAGTAGTTTCCTTCGTGTTCTTATAGACTTAAACTTAAGACAAAAGGAAATACCTTCTTGGTTTCCTGCTACCTGATCGGTAACAATCATATACAAATGGTCTCTCAAAGAGTTTTTATATAACTATATTGTAAATTTCAATTTTACTCTTTAAAATAATCTATTATTTGCAACTGGGTGTGGCTCATACAAGTAATCCCAGCACTTGGGAGGCTGAGGCAAGAGGACTGCTATGAGTTCAAAGGCAGTCTAGGCTACACAGTGAGTTTGGGACCAGCCTGAACTACATAGTGAGATCCTGTCTCAAAAGACACACACCAAAAGGGCTGGGGATTTAGCTCAGTGGTTCTGCCACCTGCCTCACAAGCACAAGGTCCCAAGTTCGATCCCCAGTACCAAAAAAAAAAATAAAAAAGGTACAAAAACACACTCAAAAATAAATAATCAATCTATTATTTGAGTCACTGAAAATTATTATTAGAACAGAAATCAGAAGACCTGGTTCTCTTATTCATGGTGCAACTGGACTTGAAAAAAGAGAAAAGTATTTTCTTTTCATTTACTTTTTGTATACTTCTTCACTTTCTTTATAAAAATCTTACAATCTTGTTCAGTTTTTGTTAAGTATTTCTCATTATCAAAGTCACCAAATTATAAAAATTTAGGGGTAAAGGTACTTTGAAAATCACCTAAATCAGTGTATTCAAAATTGGTTTAAAAAAAAGAGTGATACACAAAGTATTTCATATCTTAAATAAACTGGAGGAACATGGCCTCAACATCATGAATGACTCCTGCAGTGAAGGGCCACTCCGGGTCTTCCGTGTGTCCGGGCACACTGTGTGGCTCACACTGCAAACCTGTGAGACTTGGAGACCTTTCCTCTCAGAGGCCACCCACCCCCACAGCACGGCCCCAAATCACCAGGAGAGGCAGGGAAGCCTGCTCACAATCACACAGACTTTATTTATATTGGGAAACAATGTACAATGCAAAAATTAACAGAAGTTTTAATTTTCTTTAATTCAGACTAAATTTGGTCTGTAAGGTATTAGTACTTACAAAGATTTTACTTTTTGCTGCCACCATTATTCTAGCACCATCAGCAGACCATGAGCAACACTTCACCATCACCTCCATGTCCTCTTGAGGGTCCTCTGAATTTAGGAAGAACTGTTTCACATGAATGCTCTTCCTCTCATTGGCTGATCTCACATCCCAAAGCTTCAAATTAAAAAAAATAAACAAAAAACTTGTTTTACTCTCAACTCACACCTCCAGAATTACACCTGCATTAAATGTCAGGTAAATTTATTCACTTTACCTGATAAATTATTTGCACCTGTGGATAACTTTATATAAAGCTTTTAAATTTAAGTATTGCAGTTTTATTCATCGCCTTCCTAAAAGAAAAAAATAAGAAGCAATGCCCCAAATGGAGATTATAAAACTAAGTAAAAATTTAACCGAGCTGTGGATGGTGTGGAGGAGGCTAAAGATTAGGTGTTGACACGAAGGACGCGTGTGGGAGGAGGGGATGCCAACGCACAACTCGCCCCGCTGCTGCCCTCTGCTGTGCAGGGAGGAAGCACGGAGACAGAAGCCCGGAAGCAGAGAACAGAGATGGGCTCCAAGGAAGTGCGGCTCCTCGCGTGCATGGTGCGGCCAGACCAGGGGCGGGGCGTGAAACCCACTGGCTCCTGAGAACGTGGTTCAGCGCCCTGAACAGCACAAACACCAAAGGCTTCCGAAGATACATCTTCACTGCCAGTGATCCAGCCTCACAGGATGCTAACAGCTGCCATAGTCAGACGGGGGGTGGAGGTGGCAAAGAAGAACAAAACAAGCTGCTTCTCAGCCGGCCACAGTGGCTCACACCTGTATTTCCATTTCCAGCACTCTGGGAGGCTGAGGTAGAACTGCAAGTCTGAGCCCAGCGTGGACAACTTAGAGAGGCCCTGTCTCAAAAATTAAAATAAAGGGCCGGGGATTTAGCTCAGTGTTTCCCCCACCTGCCTTCCAAGTGCATGGACCCAAGTTCGATCCCTAGTACAAAAAAAAAAAAATTAAAATTAAGACACATGTGTAAATACCAAATGGTTTCTCTGGTGTGGGAAACTGAAGGTGTAAATAAGGATTAAAATGATTAAAACAAATAACTGATAATCTGAAATAGGAAGAAAAGGTCCAACGCGGTAGGGGACATGGGAGGGGAAGGGGAAAGAAAGGAGGGAAAGAAAAAATTATGAGAAAAGGGAAAAATGGAAACAAAGTCTATGTAAATAGGGAAGGGTGGAGGGGGTGAAGGGGGGTAAGGGGAAGGGGGAAAATAAGAACGAAGATACATCATGTACAGATACAAGCACCCAATGATAAATGCAAACGTACTGTATGCCTAGAATGTACCAATAAAAGAATTTAAGGGAAAAAAATTAAAATAAGAAAGAGACAGAGAGAGAAAGGAAGGAAGGGAGGGAGGGAGGGAGGGCAGGCTAGGGATGCAGCTCAGCATAATCTCAGTACCAAAAAAAAAGAAGCTGTTTTTAAGGCTTTAACTCGGTTTTTCAAAGCATGGGTCCCAGATAAAACCTGCTTCTTCTGGCCAGACACATCTTTAGATCTTTCCTGAGTTTAGAGAAATATTACATATACTAAGAAATGTGGCCAAAACCAAACCTTTCTCCTTGCACAACTGTGCGTAAAATGAATAAAGCAAGAGACAGCAGGAGCTAAAACAGCCTTTCCTAATACGAAAGAGGAAAAAACAAACGCCTGAAGCTTTAGTCACATCAGCCAGAATACATGAGAAATCACACTGTTTCCCTATTAATAGGAAAAACAAAGCAACCACCTGGATTTACAGGAGAGGAAAATAACATGATCTGATTTCACTACCCCTGTCTAACCCACATCGGCTCATACGCTTGGCTTTGGCTTCTATCTACGCAGAGGTAAAATCCCTCACATCCAGGGCCCAGATAAATCAAGGCCAGCATTTCATTTTGACCATTCTGTATCTGGGGTCCCCTGTACCCTAAGCCTTTGTGTGCATTAAACGACAGTCTTTAAATAAAACTCACATTTTGAAACAATTTATCCTCAAAGTCCCCCTAAAAAAACCACATGTTTAATTTCTATCTATGTTCATACTTTTTTCTTCTATTATCTTTATCCAGTTTTAGGATTAGCACAATGTTGAGTTCCTAAAATGAGGGGACAAGTG